GAGAAATCTGAGCAGTTCCTGCATACCAGAATATTTTTATTTTCTTTTCCTGGCGAACACTCACCTCATTTCTAAGGATAAACTGACTTTCAGAGGAAAGCAATACTGATCCAAGTTGCAGGTATAAAATGTGGGAAGGAAGGAAACAGAGCCAAGTCAGAGAGTCAAAGCGGAAGACGGAATTTTTACAGTATTTTTCTGTGTCCCATGTTTATATCCAAAAGCTAATTTATCCTGTGATACGTACTCTGCCAAATTATCGGCTAGACTTCTGCCTGACATTTGTTAAATGATTTTTCTCAACTAGCCTGAAGCCAAGCATAAATAAATGCAATAGGATCTATTTATTTGTGAAATGGGAAAATGCCAGAGAAACTAGTGTCCCAACAACTCCCAGGGAATTTATTTTGCATCTGCTCTTCCTATGCCTGCTACAGATAAAGAGTATCTATGCCTTATCTATAGTTTCAAAGGCCCAAATTGGGGCCAGCACTGTGTCATAGAGCATGTTAACTCTCTGCATGCAGCACCTCATATGGGCACCCGTTCAAGACTTGGCTGCCTATTTGTGAATACAGCTCCCTGTTAATGGAGAAATGAAAAAATGCTCTAAGTCCTTGACCCCTTGTACCCATATGGGAGACACGGTAGAAGTTCCTGGATCTTGGCTTGGGACCAGCCTAGATTCAGCCATGGCAGTCATTTGAGGAGTGAACCAGAGGATAGAAGATCTCCATCTCTCCTCTCCAACTCTGCCTTCTAAAAAAAAAACTCCATTTTTTTTTAAAGCCTCATCATTATATTATGATATTTATTATTCTTAAGAACCCTCATAAAAAATCCTTATCATTTTTAAAACATTAGATAGAAAATTAATAATCACTTGATTTTGTATCTAATTATTTTGTACAATGTAAACATTGCACGGCTGAGAATCACATCATTAAACTTCAAACACACTATCAATAAATTAAGAAGCACTATGGAAAAATTATTCAAGGTAGTTTTCCTTGCCAAAATATATACTGACATTAATATACCAGCATTAACTTGCAATTTAAATTGGTTTCTGTGCTCTTTTCTGGAGACAATCTTGTTTTTACCTCTACACTCAAAATTGTCTTTTCCCCAGAACACAGAGCTTAATTATGTACTGGCATTGTTGTTGAAAAAGGCAAAGATAGCAAGCAAATTGCTTTATAATCACAGCCTAGTAGCTCTTAAAATGGCAGCGCATTGAGGAAAATTAATAGCAATTTCACAAATGCAAGAGTGCGTAGGAGATACTGTGCTAATACTCACATCCTAATGCTTTTCTGAGTAAAACAGGGGATATTCTAGACAGTAAAATGCAGCCCCACACCCAACTGAGAATTCAATGACTAGAAGAGAAACACTTAGTTGCATGCTAATCATTCAAGAGGTATTTATGTGGCACTTAATTATATCAAGTTGTACTTCTCATAGTAAATTCTAGATCCTGGCATGGAACCCATTTCCATAGTTACTCTATCATACTGGAAGATTGGGCCTATCCCAAAGTACCATAAAAAATGGAATTAGAATTCCATTGAAGACAACGTAACAATGAGTAATGTCATAGAGGTATAGACGTAAACCACCCAGCTTCAACCATGGCTCGATCACTTTCCAACTGAGTATCTTTAGGGAACATAGAAACTTTCTGAGCTTCAATATTTCCTTCCTGTGATTACAGCAGTACTTATCTCTCAAGATTGTTCAGCATGAAAATGACAGCACACTCTGTTAAGTTTTGTTAGCTATTATTTCAGAATATCTAATGATGCACACTTAGCCTCTGGGCCAATGAAGCTGACTGAGCCTCTGGAGCCGCCTTATCTTTCTGGCAGGTATGTGTGTAGAGACATTTCAAACAGACTCAATAATGGATGTCATTCGCATGCTTTGAATTCTGACTTCAACCCCCCTCTGGCAGATGGGGAACAAGGTTGAGATCAGCCTATTGGCCGCAGAAAATTTTCTAGGAAACATATGAACTGAGAGGTGAATACAGAAAATGGAGTGTTCTGCTAGTTTACCTCCTGAGTAGCCTTCTGGATAAACTCTCTAGTTTTCATCTTCAAAGCTTTCTTATGTTAATTAAAAAGACAGAGTGAGGCCTGCATTGATATTGTAGCACCATGGGTGAAGATACAACCTGCAATACCAACATCTTGTGCGTGTACAAGTTCAAGACTCAGCCTGGGAAAAGCAGTGGAAGATGGTCCATGTAGTTGGGCCCCTTTCCTCAGGCAGAGATCTGGACGATGAAGCTCTTGACTCCTGGCTTAGTCCTGGTCCAGCCCCAGCCACTGTCAGCTAGAACCAGCAGATGGAAGACCTCCATCTCGCCCCTCTCCAAATGTCATTCACACAAATCTTTAATAAACTTAACATATGTACAGCATAATAAAAATAAAAGCTGTTTGAGTTCAGTTATGTATGTTTACCTTTACATAAAGGTCTACAAAAATTATGTTTCATTAGCTTTAAAAGTTTCACACGACATTGAAGAATTATCTCAAAAGATATTGGGATATGCTAGTTTGTGCCAATATTTCAAAGAGAATGGATGAACTCAGAATTTGTCCACACGATCATTTAATTTTTGAAGCATGCATGGCTTGTGGCAGATTAAACACTGGGGTATTTGTCATGTGGAAGATACAAATGACCAAAATGCAGCATGGACTCACACATACCTCACTAGGCGGGACACAGATTAGTCACTCCTCACTAAGGTATTGAAGATTTCTCTGCACACCCCTCCTAAAACTGTTCTGCACCTCAACTGTTGACATATGCCTTGTTAGAGTTATAAGCCAGCTTGGACTATCCTAAAATTCACCAAGTTCAGTAAAAATTATGCTTCAATACTATAAACTGCTAAATCTAAAAATGAAAATAGACATGAGACAGCTGAATAGTACCCTATAGCCATTTTAAGGTGTATGGCAGCCGGTTGTGTATAAACTAAAATTGAAATGTCAATGAAGTAGTCACAGGATGTGGTTAAGAACTTGCATTTTCTAAAATATTGGTCACTCAATACCATGTCAATTAATAATGTTGTAAGTTGTTATGTTGTGGCTTTTCATTGGACGGGATGATATTCTGCCAGCTCTGCTTTCAGACCAGCAATGGTCTCCAAGAAACTGTTGAATTTATCTGGACAATAAGATGCTGGAACTCTATGCATGGTACATGCTTGCAATGAAGGAATCATCATTGGATTTGAACTGTAATACAGCAACAATGTGGAGGAATCCACCATGGGGAGAAGTCATGGGGAGGGATTAGGGGAATTCCAGAGCCTATGAAACTGTCATAAAATGAAATTAAAAAAAAAAAAAGTAGAATTAGGGCCTAGTGTGGTAGCCCAGTGGACTAAGTCCTTGCCTTACACACGCCAGAATCCATGTGTGTGCCAGTCTGTATCGCTGCAGCCCTTCTTCCAGCCTGGGAAAGCAGTAGAGGATGGTCCAAAGCCTTGGGACCTTGCCACCCATATGGAAGACAGAGAAAAAACTCCTGGCTCCTGGCTTCAGATTAGCTTAGCTCCGGCCATTGCAGCCACTTGGGGAGTGAATCAGCGGATGGATCTCTCCCTCTCCTCCCGTCAATCTCATTTTCCAATAAATTTTTTAAAAAGTAAAATAAATGACTGACGGATATATGCAATCTACACACACACAGACAAACACCTGAAGATTTGACAGTCACCTAGATCACCTTCCTCAGAAGATTCTCCTTAAACTGTCCTGTCCTAAGCACTGGGCAGAATCCATGGGACAGAAAACCAGGCATGTCCTCATGGACTAACAAAGAATTGAGCTGTATATATAAAGTTCCTTAGACATGTGGTTCAAGCCAGATACTTGCTGGGTATAAAGCAGACCAAAAACCAAGAAAACTTAAAGCTCACATACAAAGTTCAGATAACAATGAATAACTGCTTTATCTCACGTGTGGAAGTTAAAAATAGTTGATCAGAACAGCAACCGTGATTACCAGAGACTGGGGAGAAAGAGTAGGTGGAGAGAGGAAGATAAAGAGGACCAGAACAGCTTTGGATAAAACAACACCTGGTATGCATTATCAATTATGTGAACAGGAAGAGAGAAACACCTCAAAAGATACATGAAAATGCTGACTGCATGACTTTAGTTTACACTGCACACTTGTGTTAGAATATTGCATGGCGCTCAGTGAAAAGGTACAATTACAAGTTAATTGTATCCCCTCAGGAAAAAAAAAAAAACACTGAATATTTACTGTGCTGGAAGGGACGAATAGGGGAGAATATGGATGAATATGGATGAATTCACATGACATCAAGGGCTTTCAAATTGTATTTTTTTAAATCACCATCCATTCTCTACTTTTTAGCAACCAGGAGGTAGAGTGACCACTCTAAGCTGAGAAGCCAACATAGGCTAAGGCTTAGAGAATTCTCTTCCTGGATGCTGGGAGTTGTGGCTGGTTAAGATGCCTGTAATGCCAGCCACCCCTATGAGTGTTAGTCCTTGTGCCAGCTGTTTCATTTCCTAAGTCCAGCTTCCTATTAATGCGCATAGGAAATCAGTGGGAAACCCAAATAATTGAGTCTCTGCCACTCATACAGAACACCAAGAAGAAACGCCTAGCTTCACCCTAGCCCAACTCAAATTGTTGCAGCTATCCAGGGAATAAAGATATAGATTTAATATTTCTCCCACTCTCTCCTTTCCTCTTTCATTCATTCTCTACCCCTGTCATCACACCTTAACCTGTAACTCAAACCAAAATATGCCCTTAAAAAAACTTTCAAAGCTAAACATCAGTAAGCCACCCCCTTCTCATGTCCCAACACTATTTGTAACCTCTTTCAACTTTGTTCTATTGGTAGAAATGCACATTAACTTTGTCCTCCATTCCTGGAGAAGTTAAGTTTTGTTCGAAGAAACGCTCCCATCTCATTCATCTTCAACCACAAATACCTTCTGGACATCAGCAATCATTTCGTTAAAGATTGTTCCTGGATTCACTCAAATTTTCAGGAACAGTAAATGCTTTAAGGATCATCTAAGCTTCCCTCACTTTATACTGTTGTAGCTGGTATTATAAAACTGAGGGTCATTATGAAAGTACCACAAACTGGCTTTGTATCCCATCAGAAAGCTAGATAAACAAAGTTTCAGAATTGATTCACTTGTTTGGATAGTTAGTTGTTCCTGATTTATCTTTATAATTCTTAGATCCATACAAGCAAAAGAGCAGGACTAAGCAGAGACTGAATAGGATGAATCAAGAGCAAGAAAAAAACTCAACATTTTTTTCCCTTTAGGACATTTTTTCTCTTAAATTGCACAAACAAGGTAAAATTTGATTTTTTCCTGTGGGTATATCACATACTAGTTAATGTCAAATCTATACATGTATACATTCTTCCTTATTTCAAGGTCCAAAAAAAAAAAAAATCAAGAAATTAAGCAGGAACCACTAGTAATTATAGGTCATATTGACAAGCCACCATCCGCAAGGTTGGAGTCCTATATCAGAGTCAATTCAAGTCCTGGCTGTGACAACCTATCTGACTTCCTGCTAACAAGCCTGGGAAAACAACACAAGTAGCCTCTGCCACCCAAGTGGGTGACGTGGATGGAGTTCCTGATTCTTGGCTTCGGGTTGGACCAGCCTTAACTGTTGTAGACATTGAGAGAGAAGATGTGTGCTCTTTTTTAAATGAAACAAATAAACTTTTAAAAACATGTCAATTATTCAAGCCCCAATACCATTTCCATCATGTTATCACACAGTGAATGTAGCAATTACAAATTGTACAATCAGAATCCGATACTACCATGTTCTATAAATTCTAACATTTGGGGCAAGAGGTTTTTTCAATCACTTGACTCATTTCTCAGATTTCCCTCTTTGTTTTAATCAGAATGACAGAATTAGAGAAAGAGAAAGACTTTCCATGCATTGGTTCACTCCTCCAGTGGTTACAATGGTTGGAACTGGATCAGTGCAAAGCCAGGGGTGAGGAGCTTCCTCTAGGTCTCCAACACGGTGCAGGGATCCGAGGACCTGTACCATCCTCTGCTTTCCCAGAACATTAGTAGGCAGCTGAATTTGAGGTGGAGCAGCCAGAACTCCAGTCGGTGCCTATATAGGACACTGGCACCACAGGCAAGAGGCTTAGCTAAGTTACCGTACAGGTCCCACCCAAATCTGTTACCCCTCTAAAAACTGCCTAAATCAGAGGAATAGAATCAAGCTTGGGACATCATTTGACTCAGTGCAACTTCTAGTTTTTAATATGTCCCATTTTGTGAATCTAGACACTTCACTATTAAACTATTTTATCTGAATGCTTTTGGCCATCAAACAGCACTTTGGGTTCTCTGTCTCTTTGGAAATTTGAGTGGATGATTCGGAAACAATTTTATGTGGCTGCTGATAGAGGTAACTGTGTGTAGGCCTCAGCAGAAACAATTAAACAGTGTTCATCCAGGCATTCTCCCACAAGTATGTTTACGCAGACTCAGCTCTTGAGAACAGATTTCTCGTAATTTGCACTTATCTTCACTTAGCCTCATCGGGAGACCAGGAGTCTCCATCTCAACTGCCTGCCAGAGCAAGGTTGGTAACAGAGTTGGACCAGCAAAGGTGCAAGAAAAGGAAGTGGTCAACTGCAGAGTACATATGATATCTGAGTATCTGAAAATACTGAAATGAGTTCAAAATGAAAAACAAGGCAAGACAATTAAGCAATACCACAGGACACTGGCCATGAACTCTCAGGGAAAAAAAAAAAATCAAGATTAACCAACTCAGTATTGTAGCATTAACCAGAAGTATCTTCACTAGTTGCTCATTAAGTATTTGTTGAATTAACTTCAGAGGAAGAGTTTGAGATTTAAACGTACTGACATCTGGTGGTGGGGCCAGGCATTGTCTACAGCTACAGTTAAAAGCCAAGGTCCCCTGTTCAGAGTCCGCGCTTGCCAAGTGCTTCCATGCTGTAAGTGCTTCACATATGGGATCTCCTTTAATGTGCACAAAGGCTCTGAGAGTTAAGTACCATCATCTCTCCATTTCAATTTGATGAAACATGGTCCTTAGAGAAGATGTTCAAGGACATAAGGAGAAGTGAGATTTGACAAGGAATTGCAGCCCTAAGCTTTAGTTTTTAGGGAAGAAAGTCTTCCTCCCAATCTGCATCTGCTTTGTATCACATTAGAAATATGCTTCCTAAACAATCATTAAGTTTCTGTGGAATAATTCAAACAAATATGTTTCTCTGGTTCTAGATAAAATTTTGTTTTCCCAATGGTCTTCTCTAGAAAATCCTATCTGAACTCCTCCTCTACCGTGGTTCTGAGCCCTTTCTTGGGTTTAATTCCTCCTAAAATAGAGCAAGCACACAAATGTGTGCCTTATGCCCTTGAGATGACAGAACCTCCTGCTGGCCTGGGTCCTTACACTGCTGTTCAAAACGCCAGTCTAATTGCCCTATCCCCAGTTTTTATATTTCCTTGCCCTCAGGGAGTAACACCCACCAAGAATGAAATGCTCAGAAAAAGCTGGTGCTGTCCCTAACTGGTCCTGCATTTTTGTGGAATTCTTCCACTCTTAGGAATACCTCAAGATCCCAAACTGTTAAAACCCTGTCTGCTTAAATCTGGGCCTCTGCCAAATAGTCACTCTGTCTATGCCCAGTCAAGTGCCCACCCATTTGGAATTTCTCTCATCGTTTCAATTTGGCTATTGGTTCGCTCCCCATCTCTGACTGCACCTCTTTCAATAATTGGTGTTCCATTTTTCTGTTCCACTTTCCTAACACTTCCCAAGTTGGAAATGAGGCATAGCCACAGCCAACAGGCAAGGCAGACAATGGCTAGAGTCTTGCATGATTGTGCAATTTCCCTTCCAGGTTAAAATGCAAGTGTTTGTCCTCCAAACAGCCCTTCCCTGATAAGAACCTGCACAGCACAGCCAGGATCCCTTCCCTCGGGTTTGTTTCCTATCACTCTATTAATAGGAGTGCTATTTCTGTTCTGCAGCTCACATCTCCTTTGTGGACTTTCCCAGTCACAATGACCCTTTCTTTATTTCGTTCTTCCACTTATGAGGTTGTCATACTCAATGTTCTCACCTGCCCCTTAATCAACAGCCAATGGTCATAGGTGATTTAACAAGTTTTTTTTTTTTTTTTTTTTTTTTTTTTGCTTTAGACTCCCCTGAAACAAACCATCAAATTTCCATTTGAAGATTTTCCCATGTGGGTCATCCACCACTTGTTCCCAGGTCCATCTTTCCCAGAAGGACTAAGCAGAAAAAGCCACAACCTTGCCATGGCTACATATGGGCTTCAAAGGTAACATATGCATACACTGAAAGTGAAGGGTTGGACGAAAATATATAAATGAAAACCAAAATCAAGCAGGAGCATATACACATTTATCAGGCAAACTTTGAGACAGAAGGACATCATATGTTGATAAGAGGATCAATTCAGCATGAAGATTTTGGACACAAATATACATATATCAAATGTTAAACTAAAGATAAAGACAAATTACACAATAGTTGGGGGATTCCAACTGCCTGTCACCAATAGACATGAATCTATTTTCCGTCAAGATGACAAAGTTGAGCTGTAACTATTGATCAAATGAACCTGACATTTACATTATTTCACCGAAAAGCCACAGAATACACATTATCAGCAGCATATGGAACAATTTCTAGAGTATACCATTTATTAATGCACAGAGCAAGAGAAACCACACCACACTCAAGTGTAGGATGTGAGAAGAAGTCTATTGACCAAGCTTGGCGATGGCAGTCTCTGCTACACTCCAGGAACCACTGTACTGCATGATCAAAGCCAGGTGTTTTCAAGCTCTTAACACACAGCAGCCAGGGATTTTGAATCAACTCAGGTGGTATGTATTACGTATCAATTGGCTTACAACTTAGGCTAATCAGGTACAGAAGCAGGTAACTGTGTATCCATACTCAAAATCTAGTACAGACTTAGGGTGCTATTATCAGCTGTACCCTACCACATTCTCCACAGTGTTCTACAACTTGAGTCAAATTGGTGATTCTTTCTCATATCCAGGGGATCACTATATGATTGGTACCTTGATTTCCAAATAAGGAAGTTTAGGATTCAAGTGCACCAGCAATATTCCGCAAGGAGTTTGGAAGTCTTACAATAGGCCCAATGGGGTGGGGGACTACAGAGAACTTAACTGACTTTTGTTGATTCAGAAGCCTCATAGCAGGTTCTCCCCATGCATACCTGAACTTATTTCCTCATGTATTCCCACATCCCACACTGACTTAGACCAATGAGCGATCAGATCAGGATGTTTTATGAACACTGGCTGGGGTACTGGTAGTTAAATTTCTAATATCTGCATCCCAGAGCTCCCACTCATACAGGGTAAAGATGTTGACAGAACAGTCTTTAAGGGATCTCCAGTGTGTTGAACAGTCCATTTTTCTTCTGCTTTAGATGTGACCTTCTTTAACTGGGAATGGTGAACCTAGGGGGTGATTCCTGCCACCTTCACAGCTGTAGAGTGCTCAAGGTCACTGGGTAAGGTCCTTTCCAAGCAGATGCTTGGGTCCACAGTTTTCTTAACCTATGACATCTCTGTGTGTAAGAGTGGCAGTTATGTCAGTGTCCACCACAGGCTGGGAGAGCCACAGCTGATACATCTGCTGCACCACCTGGACAGGCCTATTGGGACCTGAGTAGCCTACTGTAATTTTAACCACCTGGCCTTGTCGGACAGGACTGCCAGAGGAGGCTGTAACCATTACTTCGGAAGGCCCCACTGGTGTTAGCTTCACCTCCTTGGCTACTGAGTTAGTATGGTGGTTGCCGTTAGTCTGGACTGACAGTCACATACAGACTCCCCAAAGGGATCTGGAAGCAAGGTGTGACTTAATTAGTATCTTCCAAGGAGGAAGAATTGAGCCAGTGATCTGCCCTTTA